TTCGTTATTTCTCGCTCCCGTGATAGTTACGGGCTGGAAACTAATTAATTTTTTTTTTGCCCGGAAAACATTTTATTTCTCATTTTACGCACCAGATAGCAGTACTAGGATATTTTTAAGGTAATTATAGATAGTTTATTTTAAAAAAGATGCCAGCACTAAAGTCAGCTAATCAGCACTAATCAAATGCGTGTATTTGTGATATGTTATTTGTAATCTTAGCAAAGTTACCTAGTTAGGTCCTTTGTGAATAAACCTGGTTTGTGCTCAAGATAAAATTTATTTTTTAACCCCTTCCTTCTCGCTCCTGTGAAAATGACAGGTTGAGATTTCGTTCGTTTTTTCTCGCTCCCGTGATATTGACGGGCTGGAAACTAATTCATTTTTTTTTTTGGCCCGGAAAACATTTTATTTCTCATTTTACACACCAGATAGCAGTACTAGGATATTATTAAAGCACCTATTTTTAAAATTTTCCTTGCTTGCTGGAAAACCAACATTTAACACTGAATGTTGGCTTTTCCTAAAAATTAATTTTTTTTAAATTTCAAGCTAAAAACAAATCAAAAATTAAAAATGATTATATATATTGTTCATACACAAAGCTCATATAATTTTCAGGGTTAAAAAAATAGACACTTTTATGACCGTTTTCTTGAAAATTAACCGATCATTAAGGAGTTAACCTAGATTTATTATTTTTTTATGGGTTTTATTGTAACGGTGATATATTTCTGTTTTGTGTACCTGGCAACTTTGATACATAATTAGTTTGTTTATGTTCTACGTGGTTTCATACCTGTCTTTGTATTAAGTAAGAAATTTATAGTGTGAAAGAATTTAAATCTTTGTGAAAGAAAAGAAAATGCATCACTTTAGAGAACTGATACTTGACGGGCTTAACTTATTCGAAATAGAATGGAAAAAACAATTGATAACGTAAACAAATGCCACGTTTTAACAGCCAATCAAGATCGAGACACCCACACTACATCACTTGCTGGTATTCCATTAAACTGTAATTATTTAAAAAGAAATCCTGTAATTAAAACCTAATAAACATATTTTTCTTGATATATATAACTTAACAAAACGTGCAGAACTATGCGAGTTATTCTTAAAATTGCTTACCATCAAATGTGTTGAAAAAGAAGAAATACTAGACTTTTTTTGTATTACACTTTAGATACAAGATATCTTAATTCACTGAGAAGTTTAAAATATTGTTAAAAATCTATTACTTAGTTATGTCAATGCACAGAATATGAATAACACAGAACTTACCCATATTTTTCAACTGAAGATTTAGGGTATAATTTATGAACACTTTGTCTCCGCAAAAATGATAAAGAAAGGGGAATTTCCAATATTAAAACTCATGTTGTGTTTAAATTTTAATAAAACGTTTGGCTTTCTACTAAATAGTAAAAAAATATTTAAAATCGCAGACGATAAATAAAATTACAAAAAAAAAACTAAATTCACGAACGCAACGACCGATAGGGGGGCGCTGTTGTTGGAGACGAATTCCTGCTAGCAAAACAACAGGATCATCAGTTGCACTGAAGATTTCTTAAGTGTAGTATGGTAATGCTCTTTCTTTTTTGTAATTTTTTTGTGTTATTTAAAAAAGAAAAATTTATGATATTCTTTCGTATGCAAGTGAAAAACGAATGGAATAAGTATATATTATGTGATGTACATATTATTTGAAAATAAAGTTTTATTATTATTTGAAAATAAAGTTTACTACTTTTTCTATTATTTCAGCATTCCCCTGTTATTTCCTACTTTTCTTACTTTTTTTAAATCCTCCCATTTCTGCTATTCCTTATTTAAAAAGCATAGTGACAGCCAAGAAAACGGAATAACGACTCCAGCTCAAGTATTGCAAGTGCACCACTTTTTCAATTCATTCATTTTGAATGGGGTGTGAGGAGGGGACAGAATGTGGTAGAACATAAATTCTAAACTCATGTTTGTGAAAATTGCAACACCATGAAGGACTTACGCGAGTGAGCTGAAATTTTCAGGAAATGCAAGTAGAGCACGATATGCAAATTATTAGAATTTCAGACCCGTAGCGCATGCGTATGCTGAGCAGCGCCCTCTGAACGGCGGATGGATCCGAATAAATAGACGGCTGTAGCCAAGCGAGTATGGTTATCGGTGGTTATCTGCTAGTGGTAAATGTTAGCTCAGTCATTACTTATGCCTATTCGACGAAAGAGATCGAGATTTCAACAACTTACGGAGTTTAAACGGGGGAGAATCATTGGCCTTCGTGAAGCTGGATTATCTTATTGTGCAGTAGCCGCTCGTGTGCAGCGTAACAGCAGCACAGTGATGCGTGTTTGAAAGCAGTGGATGGACGAGTGTCGGACAACTCGGAAATCCGGGAATGGACTCTGAAATGTCACGTCAGCTCGCGATGATAGACACCTGTTCGGTGTTGCGCTAATGGACCGTACGGCTCCCTCTAGACAACTGGCAGCACGGTGGCCAATAGCTACAGGTGTTTCATTGCGTGCTTTATCAATTCGTTGACGTCTGCTGCAGCGTGGACTGCGCGCAAGGACTCCTTTATACAGGATCCCCCTCACGCTAATCCTTCGCCGCCTGCGGCTGCAATGGGCCAACCAGCATAGGAACTGGCTTGCTGATTGGCAGCGTGTCGTGCTTTCTGACCAATCTCTCTTCAATTTGTGGAACCATGATGGCCGCATTCGTGTCAGACGCTATGCCGGTGAACGCCATCTTCCGGAGTGCGTTATCGAACGCCACAGTGGACGAACATCCGGGGTTATGGTCTGCGGTGACATAGCATATCATGGACGTTCTCAATTGCTACGAATTGTGGGTAATCTGAACAGCAACCGGTACATCAGTGAAGTTCTGCAGCCCAAGCTGTTCCCTTCCTTCAAGCCTTACCAGGTGCTGTATTTCAACAGAACAATGCCCGCCCTCATATTGCTAGGACTGTTCAATCCTTCCTTGCATCGCGACAGGTACAACTTTTTCCTTGGCCGGCGTATTCCCCGGATATATCGCTGATTGAACATGTGTGGGATTTCGTTGGTCGGCGTCTCGCTCGTAATCCTCGTCATGTTGCTCCTACAGACGAACTTTGGATACGCATACAAACAGTATTGAATTCTCTTCCTCAGACAGACATTCAAAGTTTGCTTGACTCCATGCCATGTCGTGTAGCAACACTTATTGCGGACCGTGGTGGTTACACAAAATACTGATTTCGATCTCTTGTTATTGTTTGTTTGCTTTGAAAGTTTAATCATTTATTTGTACCACTATCACTCAACTGTGTATTAAATTTCATTCAATTACGACGATTCCTTCATGGTGTTGCAATTTTCACAAGCAGGAGTTTATATAGTAGGACAGCTTCTTGTGTCTGCATGCCCATTCATGTTTAACCAAAGCGGAGGAAAAGAAAAATCGCACAGCTCAAGATTGATACACGCGTTTTTCCTTCTGATTTCGATTATTGTTTCAGCAAAATGTTGAAGCCCTGCATGCCCATTCATGTCTAACCAAAGTGGAAGAAAAGGAAAATCGCACAGCTCAAGATTGATACACGCGTTTTTCCTTCTGATTTCGATTATTGTTTCAGAAAAATGTTGAAGCCCAAGTTAAACTGTAGATAACATTAATAATCCTGAGCCACAATCACGGTGATATAGTCGCAGAACGTTACAGAGTTTTTGCAGAAAGAGTTTTCCTTTAGGGAGTAAAAAAAATTAGTTCTTCTTTCTGCCGAAATTTTCTAAAGTTTTTTTCTCTCATCAGAATTATATTCAAAAGAGCCCACCAGGTGGCCGAGCGGTTAGCGCGCCGGACTGCGAAGCCATTGGCTGCGGGTTCGAATCCCGCTCTGGGCATGGATGTTTCACTCTCTCTTTGTGCTGTCCTCTGTGATGTGTGAATGTGGCGCACCCTGTAAACGGGTTTGTGGCAGTGTGGCGTGGGCAACACTGCTCGCCTCCGTGACTTTGGTTCACAGGTGCCCACTGGGTAACGCTAAATGAGTAACAATTCCGGCATTTTCATAGGCAAAGATTCAAATTCAGTGCCTGCCATTAGAAAAAAATATATATATATATATATTCAAAAGAAGCTTTATTCGCGATCGGAAAGAAATGCTCGTGATTTTTCTCTTCTCATTTGAGAATAATGAAAAATAAAGAGTAGCGAAGTAAAAAATTTAGGTTTTCTTTTTTTCCAGAAATTTGTGAAAGATATTTTTCGTTCCATCCAGAATTATACGCAAATGATGTCTTTCTCGCGCAAAATAGGGGAAAGAAAGGATTGCGATTTTTCTATTTTCATTTGTTAATAAAGAAAAGCAAAGAATAAAGTAAAAAATTATGGTTTTCTTTTTTGTAGAAATTTTCGAAAGTTATTTTTACCATTCAGAACTAGTTTCGAAAGATGCTTTTCTCGCCCATCAAAGAGTAAAGAAATGCTCCTGATACTTTTCTATTTCTATTTGAGAATTAAAAAAAAATTCTACAATGACTGGTTTCAGCTAGAATTACTATTAGATAATATTAAAAAACAAAGGAAAACATAATTCGCCATTGTTTAAAAGATAGTTTGCTCTAGAAATCATGCACTTTCTTTCGTTTTATTTTTATAAAGAACTCCATATTGTAGTAACTATGCATAAATTAACTATGCACTGAAGTTGCCACATATACAAAATAAAAATATATCTCGGTTACTATAAAATATATAAAAAAATAATAAAACTAAATTAAGTAAAAGACGTAGTCGAAGATAGAATTACATTTCAGCAATTTCAGTGTGCTATATGGAGTTGTATTTAATTAACTTCTCGTTAGTTTGCATTTTAACTTATGTGGGGGAACTAAGCTCAACTTTAACACGCTATTATGCTTATAAACGATCATCTAGCGCTGACGTCCGTCATAGGTCACATGTGTGGGTGTCTGAGATTTTTTTGTTCCTGAAAAGTATTTACCCCGACCTGCCCCAATTTAGGGCATACGGGTAAATGTTTATTAAAATTCAAAAGAACAGTACAAAACATAAAATACATAAATTACATGGCAACAGTCCATAAACAGAAATCAGTAAAAACAATGTTGAGTAAAAGTAAAGTTCAGTTAAAAACTGGATCACAAGATAAAATGTTCAATAATTAAAAGTTCGTTTTTAAATTGGAGTAGAGGTTTAAAAGTTCAAAAAAGTTAAAAATCAGCTAAAGCAGGTGAAGTGTTTAAAAAAGCAGTCAATATAAAATCCAATTAGAGTTTAAAAGTTCATAAAAAGTTAAAGTTGATTAAAATCAGATGTAAATAGTTAAGATCAACCAGAATTATAAACACTATGAACTGCAGGCTCCGAGAATTACAGGTCTGCTAAAACACCTTCAAGAGTAGTTTTGATGATATTTTTAATAATTTTTCTACAGGCCAACTCTGCGTAACATTGTTGAAGGATCTTTTCAACAAGGTGGTCGCCACGCAGTGTCCGGAAGTGGAGACAGGGATAAATTAAATGCTCGATAGTCTGTGTTTCCCCACAATACTTGCAGCTTTGATTTTTATTAAAAAGTCTATTTTGATGATCTCCGAGCACTCCGTATCCAGTAGGAAACTGGTTAAGATAAAAGTCGGCCTGTAATCTCCTGATTGATGGATCTTTAAGGAAATAATAAGTTTGCCTGCCCTTTCCGGGGTCCTGCCATTCCAGCCTCCGTGTTCTTAAATTTTAAAGTTTCTCACTAGATTTGATTGGGGAATTAGAACTCGGGACCTCTAATTTAATCTGACTGAGACTTGGCTGCCTGATACGCCTCCTCGTTACCTACTTAACCAATATGTGCCTTTACCCAATTACAAGTAATGTTAGAACGCCACAGGAGTTTAGTGTTTTCGATTATTCTGCTTTTAGGAGTTGGATCATTAAGTGCTTGCAACAAGGAGAGCGAATCAGTAAAAATCGTTGCATCTGGATAATTCAGTTCTGCTCAGCTGTAAAAACATTGCAGTTGTCAGAGAGCCTAGTGGAGTCCGCCCTAATGGTGTTACCATTCACTTTCATAATAACACCATATCCTGTTCTAAAATAATTGTTCTCTTCGTTATTTTCCTCTTCGGCAACCTCCATTCTAGACCCATCAGTGAATATTTCAATCCCGCTGGATCTTTGGGAGTGATTTACCACAGGGCACCGAAACCAAAAGTTAGGGATATTTTCCATCAGGAGGTTGCTCAATTTGGATTGGTCGATCGATGTGATTTAGGATCGAACCCAAATCCTCCAATTTCCAGCTCCATTTTATTCTTGTAATTGCAATATCCACCCTGATTTTGAGGTGGATGGGCACAACTCCCGTCAGTATCTGGAGAGCATCAGAAATTGTTGTACTGTATGCTCTAGTAATGGTTATTAACGATGGTCTTAGAATAGTTTTGAGTTTCTCATTGATTTTGACAAGGTTCCTGTACCAGACACTGCCGGCGTATAAAACGATCCTTTCGGTGGCCCTGAGATAGATTGTTTTTAAAATTGACGGTGTGAGTCCCCAAGTTTAATGCAATTATTAAAACTGTCGACTTTCTCTCTGACGTGGTTCAGGCAGCTAGTAATATATACAAAACATCAAAAGAATAAATCAACAGCCAAAGATCTTACAAATTTGTACATACATATTTGTAATACTTTCATAAAAGATGGATGTACAGTGTTTGCTGCTGAAATATAAATGTCTTTACATATCTCTTGAAAGCTTTTTTATCTTCTCTAACTTTCCGTTTCTTACTTTTGCTTTCTTATAACGCTTGAAAGGATAGCTAATGATAAGAATAACTGTCTCTAAGAAATCATATACAGCAACCAATGAGATTCCAAGCCAAATTCCAACATAGCCACCTATGTTACTGAAAGCCTCTACATTCTAAAATATATAATAGCCTGCATTTATTATTTTTAATTGCGAAAAATATTGTACTCAACACACTATAAAATATTTATGCGAAATGAAACTTGATTAATATAATCTAATGAAACATTATTTTTTTAGTGATTACAAGAAAATATATTAAGTTCACAATGAAACATTATGAAACGACGGATTAATTAAATAGAAACACTAAGATAAGTTTGAGCAAAAAAAAAAAAAAAAACAGGATTATTTTTTTCACAATAAAAAAAATGTCACCTTTTTTTCGGGTGTTCAGTGCACGGAAGAAAAAAAACACGGACCATCATTTTGAATAACTTTTTTTCTAACGATCGGATCTTCATGTTCTGGGACTCAATCCAAAGGTTTAAAGGGGGTGACCTCAAATATGCAAATTAATTAGTGCAGACGATAATTTATGTCACAAATTCATACAGAAAAACGTATTTTTTCTGAATAAACAACTCTTTTTATTGATGAAATCGAATTTCTGACCCCAAAATATAGGAGATGATTGCCGCAATCTGGGAAATGTAGTCCCAATAGTTTGGTCAGCAGAGCAGTCTCAAGTTTGAACCCCTTAATATTAATTTTAAGAATTGTGTATTTCGTCAGATTTCGAGAACTTCTTAAGCGAATTTAAAAACTTTTGACCACAATTCTAAAATTCGTTTAACGAAACATAATTCCATTTATAGTTTTTTATTATTTTATTTAATAGTAGTAAAAAAAATTTAAATAGTAAGGTATAAATTTTTTATATCATTTTCAAGACTGCAATTTTAGATTGCAAAATACAAAATTTGAGCGAAATCAGCCAAATAATTTATGAGAAATCGAATTTCAAAAAAATAATTTTAAATTTCTTTGGCATTAATTAATTTGTACATTTTAGGTCACCCGCTCGAATCATTAAGATTGATTCCTAGAGCGTAAAGATCTGATCATTAGATCAAAAGTTACTCTAGGTGGTCTGTTTATTTTTTTACTCACTATACAACTTTATGTTAGGTTTTGTTTTCCTAATTGAAAATTACAAAACATATAAATTTAAACTGACGATGAAATAAAAAATTTAGCGTTCGGAACTTAGCTGAAGAACTGCTAAACTTCTAGAAGACATGACCTTTAACATATCACTGAAATACAGATACAGATATAAAAAACTAAAAGGGCAATTTTTTTTATGAATTTTAAACAAGGGTGCTTTCAAAAAATTCTCAATTTTTGCATTTTTAAATGTTTCTTTTTTTCACGTTTTTTCTGTCTTTTTTTTACGCTAAGCTTTGTTTTGCTGTGCAAAAAAACTATTTAAAAACTTAAAATCATGACAGAGAGTAAAAAATTTAAAAAAAAAAAATTCAACGTAACAAAAAACATTCAATACTTGACTTTTTGATTGTTTTGCAATTATTAAGTATAAAACTTGTACTAAAAAATATCATTCGAGTCTATCTGTTGCACGCTGAAAGGGAGTTTTAAATGCTGAAAGAATCTTCTTTATTTGTTAACACAGTGATTTGTCTTGAAATTGCACATCTTTTTCTTTCCAAAGAGCAAATTAAATGAATTAAAAAATTCACAAAAGTAAAATAAACAAATTAGATGTTGCCAGATATAAATTGTAACTCTTATATCGAAATTTTTAAAAAATAAAGGGATCAAGTGAGATAAAAATCATATTTATTTTTCAGGTTATACAAGTTAAGGTTATTGTTATATATTGTTAACAAGTAAAAGTACTTCTCATTTTTTACTTTATATTTAGGCACACGTAAAGTGCGCAAATAATAAATAAATAAAACGACCATCCTAAATATCTTTTGATCTACTAATCGGATCTTCACGTTCTAGAACATGATCTTAATGGTTTACCTTAAAAATGCTAATTAATTAGCGCAGGCGATATTTTATGTTACGAAATCCAGGAAAAACCATACTTTCTCTGAATAAACATATGTTTTTCCCCCGACAGATTCAGATTCTTGATCTCCACAGTATATAGGGAGTGACCGTAATCTGGGAAATAAATATCCCTACAGTTCGGTCAGGAGAGCAGTCCAAAGTTTGAACCCCTTAACGTTAATTTTACCTTTCGCGTAGTTCACCAACTCACGAGAACCTTTTAAGCGAATCGAAAAGCTTTTGCACACAATTATAAAATTCGCTTATCCCTAGTAATTATCCATGCAAAATATAACTTTTAGTAAATATTTCTTTATTTTTTATCCTTATTTAATAATACTCAAAAGAGATTTGTAATTGTAAAGCATATAATTTTTTTACATTAATTCAAAGAATGTTAGTTTAAATGGTAAATTACATATTTTGACCGAAATCTGTCGAAACGTTTTTGGAAAATCGAATTTTAAATAAATTTATTTTTCAATATTCGATTTCTCGAGAACTATTCGTCCGATTTCGCTCAAATTTTATGTAGATAAAAATCTAAGGATTTATATTTGGTAACACCTAGTTTTCTTCTCTTATTTTTTTTTATCGTTTTAAATTCGTGTTTTTTTTTTTTTTTTTTTTTTTTTTTTTTTTTTTTTTTTTTTTGACGTTCCTACATTTTGTAACGTGTTTTTATTTTCTGAAACTACGAATAAAATGTCAAGAAATTTTTCTTGTTAACTTCCATTTCAAATTATGTTTTAATATATCTAAAATAATATGTAATTGCGTCGTGATTTTTTTAAAAAATAAAAAAAATGAAGAACTTTTAATTAAATCTTAAAATTTTCCATTCCCTGACGTTCTCAATACATTTTTCTACATACTTTTGTAAGCTTGAAATTTTAAGTCATATAATTTGAACAGCAAAGCAAAATTCAACATAAAGTGAAAAAAAGCAAAAATAAAAGAAATTAAAAAAAAAAATCAGTTAAAATTGCTGTAACATTTGAACGAATTGGAATTGATCAAAAAGTTCTCGTGTTAAGTTCATAGACAAAAAAGGCTCTTTCAGCATATCGAATTTTATATCTGTAGTTGCAATCATGCTACAAAATATTGATAAATGTTCTAAAATATGAAAAACAAAATTAACTTTCACCTGAAATTTGGGATTGTATGTATACGTTGTTGTTTTCATGCCGTCCAAGTTTATAAATATCGTAATATTTTGGCTGAAATAAAGAAAATTTTATAAATTGAATTATATATTTCATGAAGAAAATTAGTTTAATTTTAAGGATCTTTCAAAATACTTACGACTTTATTCAGGAATCAAAAGTATTTACCTCAGACTTTAATTTCACCAGGTGATACTTAATAATATGTTCTCTTTTTATTATTTTTATTTTTAAACGATTTTACAAAATTTAAGTTTACCTTTTCTAAACAAAGTTCATATGCCAGAGCTCAGGGCATAGTGCATTCGCCTCCCATTGAGGTAACCCAAGTTCGAATCCTAGCAATGTCTGGCTGTTATGAATTCTGCTCACAGCTCGCACAACCTCAGATCTCACTTAAAATACCCTCAGTGGTAGACGAGTTTCGAGTTAGAATTCCTTTGGCGTGGTGTCAACCATGAGAGGTTTGCGATGTTTTCTTCTCCATGTTACACAAATGTGTTAGAATTCAATCAAAACGTCCTCCTCAAAGACTACTTTGTCCAATGCTTGATCAAAGAGTTTCTTTGTCTTTTGGATAGGGTTCAAAATTACAAGGCAACGGAGTTGAACGTTAAATTACGTATAGTCAGGATTCGGCTGTTCAACGCCTGTCATGAACAAAGCTCCTTAAAGTTTTCAGATTAAAATGAAAATAACAAAAGAGAATTTTAAACCTTGATTGTTCCAAAAAAGCTATGGGATGGAACGGAACAATGTGGATTATACAACACTTTAGTTACTGATTACCTTACTTTACAGAAAATTGAATCTAATTACGAACGTGACGCTCGTGAGCACTGATAAAAAAGACAATGTCAACTGTTAGCTTTCGGATCTCATGATAGGTATAGCAGAGGTAAGAACTATTATATGTATCTTAATGTTAAACAGGAGTGTATAATATATATAGCAGTAATAAGGTCGGCAAAAAATATTGACACTGTCAGTTACCATATAACATGGCGGGATATTGAGATTTCCAAAAGGCTCTCTTGGAATCTGCGTTGTAACTGAGAATAATGTTAAGATGGTTGGAAAAAATCTACAACGAAAGGCTCTTTTAGCCGACCTGTATCAGCGCAGTCATCCTAAGTGTCAGTATAGAAGAAGTGGAGAGATGGGATTAGGAAGTGTTATTCAATCAACGAGAAGTGAAATTAATATTAAGGGAAACAAACTTTCGACAGAAATAGACAAAATTTTGATTCCTACAGAAAGTATGTGTTAATGCTTAGAAAAATACGTCACAATTCAATTCAATTAACCAGCTTGGCTAGGCACGCACCTCGCACCATATATTGCATTCCAGTTAATAAAAAATCCATCACTAGACCACAAAGTTATTAAGTGTGTATGACTTTTTTTATGTACACCTGTATTTTTCACACCCCACCTTCGAAAGGAAAATTTTTTCCCCCCATTTTTTAAAAAGTTTTGAAGTCTAACAGACGAAATCACGTAGGAGATTGTTCAATTGGAAAATGTATTCTTCATGAAAAAGGGAGAATTTATTCAATTTTATGGTAGTACTTCTCAGATAAATTGACCGGAAATATCTGTTCCCTTTTGAACCATAGTCTCAGTTCATTGAATCCTAATATCGAATAAGCTTATTGCAATCTGGACAAGATAGTAAAATTGAGTAAAATTATCTTGTAATTAAGTTTAAGACAGCTTATTTTGTTCTATGATATGGCTCAACTTGACAACCATTAAAATGTAACAAATTTGTATCATACTGTGTTTCAACGCTCTCTAAATCTTCTAACATTTTGTAGCTCCTGTAAACGCTAATAAAAAAATCTGTTATATAATTCAAAATATCATGTAATTACGAATATCTGTTGCACAAATACTTTATAAGCTCTAAGAATTAAAACTATTAATATTTAAATTGTTACTTACGTGTGAGCTGGTTCACGGGGACAACCATGCTAGAAAAGAAATCAGGTTATATATATATATANTTTAAGTGGCTCATATACGTTTATCGGCCACTCTTTACCTGATTTTTCTTCCTTTTTATGTTAAACAATTGATATATATATCTTCTTTTTTAATATAATTTAAATTTTTTTTTTTTAAATTGTCGTTTGCTATTTTTTTTACTTATTATTTCCACCCCCCTTTTTTTTCTCTTCATATGTCTATAATTTTTTCTTTATTTTATTCTTCATTTTGAATTTATCTAATGGGTTCTGTTTGCTTGCAGCTTAAGCGCAATAAATGAAAATTATTTTTTTTCTTAACTTTCATCGTGTTTTCTTGTAATTAATATATATATATACATAAAAAGACTGAAAAAAAGATGTTAGATTATGTAAATAGAGGGTAAATAAATAAAATAACATTAAAAAAATGTCATGCAACGTAAGGTCCAATGTAGCAGCGTCATATTATTATCATTGTATTTGTATTTACACTTCGTAAATCTACTCTGCAAATAGCAAAGTTGCATGCTTTATATCGTGTTATAAAAGAGTAACGATATTGAAAAAAAGTATAGATTTGAAAAGGAAATTTGACATTCAGCACATTCAATTCTTTAGAATGAAAACAAATTAATCCAAACATAGTAAAAGTAAGCTTACGTATAAAACTGTAGAGTCTGTTACTTCTCTTGTAACTTCAAAATGTTCTTCACTAACAAAAGCAAAAAAAAGTTTTTTTTAATTCATAATAGATCAAGTTATTCGTCAACACATCAATTATAGTGTACTGACATTTCTCAAATACAAATAGCAATGTAATAGTATGAGTTTATATAATCTTTTAAAAAATTTGTTAGGAGAAAAAAAGCATTTTCACTGTGTTATCATGAAAAGATGTAGCATACAAATAAGATTGTTATAAGATACTTTCGGTTTCTCTAATCATTCATTTCTTGAACAAAGAGGTAGAATCTATCTATTTCTTTAAATTTTTTTCTGTGCATTTTGAACTACATTAAGTTAGTGGGAAAAAAATCTGTGTTCCGATAAGTGTGTATGATCAATTTCAAAGTAATATTTTGAAAGATTTATGTTAATAGCGGAGTTGATATCTTGTCAAGTTATCCGATATCATATCATGGTATAATTTCTCAAGTTGTATGTTTATATTTACTTATTTCGATATTCGTTTTTAGAAAGTGATGAAAATATTATTCACCATTGGACGTCTCTGAAATGCATAAAAATGTGTTATTAAAATTTCCTTTTATTAATGCATTGATTGTTTATTATACACCTTCATCTATCCTTATCCAGCTTTTTTTCTCTCTTGAATGAAAGATACAATTTTTTAAAAAAAAATAGAAAATGTTTAAAGAAATTCCTAAAAATTTAAATTTAAAGCAATGGTAGATGGGTTAAGTAAATAATATAAATATTAAAGTTTTGCTTTTATTCTATTTCTTTTTAAATGTAATTTATTTTAATTTTTTAAATTCAATTTATTAAAGTGTAGGGTCATAATTTTCGCCTGATTCCTTAGCTTTAAATATTTGGAAGAAGTTAAATTTTTTTATTCGGAATTCTGTAGTTTAAAAGAATTTTAACTCATAAATACGGTAAAAAAAATTCACAATAATTAGTATTGTATTAAAATTATACATTGTTTAAAATCAATATTAAATTATTACATAAAAGTTATAAATTTTTAATTTTGGCATTTTAACATATTATTGGATATTTTTACTTTGTACTTCTTCGTATTTTGGAAACGAAATAAAAATCAACAAGATTCATAATAACAAAAGATACGTATATGCCACAAACTTCTTAAACTTAAATAACGTAATTTCTATTGACCTTTCTTATATTTTTTTTTTGTAATTAAAAATTCTCAAGAACGAAGATAAAGCAAATTATATTTTCAAGTAAACATTCGCTTCGTAAAGGCATCCAAAAAGAAAAAAATGATAAAAATATTGCTTATGTGATAACATTATATCAAATGTTGTCTAGTGTATATTTTTTATAAACAATCGTTCTTGTAAAGGTGCTTACGCAGAAAAAGTTTGAAATATTCTTTTGTAAGTGATAAAATTATACCAAATAATATGAAATATATCAAACGTCATTTCTCAAAGAGAATAATGTCGCATTTGGATACAAAAAAATTTTTTTAAAAATTTTTGCTCCACTTCAGTCTGTAGTTTTAAGTGTATCAATTAAGAAACTGATATGAATTTATAGCGAAACATTTGCGACTTAAACAAGCTTTTAATACTAAATATTATTGCTTAAGATTAGAAGATGTAATTGAGTTAGTTGCTAATGTTACCATTAAGTGATATAGGGAAAAAATATCCAATTCAATGCTATAAATGGCGCTTCATCTTAGCTCAGACTTTATCATAAAATCAAATTCCATACTTACTAACAGGCAGGATAACAATTCTGTTTTTCACATTCTACAATATCATTTTCTGGCATTTCCACGCCTAATATATCTGTGTTCATTATAAAAAAAAATCACTTTATTTCTCATTGCAAATCTTATTAATTTTTTTCGAGAAAAATAAAATTCAACAATTCATTTAGGAAAAAGAAACAAGTAAAACATTCCTTATTTTTCTTCCTGCTATACAAAATTGGTCTATTTATATAAAAGAGAGCAAAATATTAAACTTATTACCATTTTTTGTTGTTGTTAAAAATTTGTCAGGCTTTACGGAATTAAGACAAAATTTTCACTATATGAATTAAAAAGCAAGTTCTACGACAAAGTTTTGCACTATAATAGCTGTTGTAAACGAAATTAACTGCGCTTGTGAAACTTTTAGTCTTCAAAGTTGTAATGAAGTTTATGGTAACGCCAATTTGAAGTTAGGAAGAATTAGTATAGAGAATCGGAATTAAATACCGAAAGAAAAAGTTTTTCCAGCAAATTTCGACTACCATGAGTTGCGTCAAGCAGCACCATCATGACAGATGAATTTGGGTTGGTAGGTACTTATATTTACGTCGCACTTTAGCTGCACAATAGGCTATTGGCGACAGTCTGGGAAACTTCCCTGAATATGATCCGAAGACATGCCATCGCAATTTTGATCCCCTGCAGGGAGGATGACTATCCAGCTTTGGTAGCCCGACGATCTGCGCGCGAAGTCGAGCACTTTACGGTAGATGATTTTGAATACAGTATATATTTGCTTTGGTGATAAGAAATTCAAAAATGCTTTTTGTTTAATTTTATATCGTAAAACCAATAAAGAAAGTAGGAAATAAAAATAGGAATTATTTTAGGTAAATTAATTCTGTCGGTATCTTACTTTTTTGTTTTATTTATGATTTCATAGTGATCAATATTAATTAAGTCCTAATTTGCATTTTCCCCAGTACGAATAGCGAATACTCAGTATTCAACTAAGTGAATACAAACCGTGTATTCAGGCAGTAATTAATATTTTTACTTTAGTAAATAATATTCACCTCGTCGTCAGCAAACAGTTTTTGTTTAACGTTGTTGTTGTTGCTTATCCTCTTCTGGCCTGACGAAGTCAGACCAGATCTTTGAGCCCGTTGACCTGAGGAAAATCAAACACCAAAAGAGGAGTAGAGTAAATGTCTTCCCAGAGAAGACCAAGACAGTTCAGGATGTGATCGGCGGAAGCCCGGTGTAGATGGTATTTAGGGCAGAGGGGGTAGGTTTTAGTTCCCTCAGAAAATAGTAAACCTTTAAGATGGCCGGTAGCTAGGCGGGAGATGGTGGTGCAGACTCTCCTTTCAAAGGGAAGGGTCAAAGAAGCTCCAGGCTTATTTCCCTTGTACCAATGGTGGGTGGGGGGAATCAACCAGTCTCTGAGAAGCTGGGATTTCTTCAGGGAGTAAAGTTCAAGATAGGTAAGATCAGAAGAGGTAGGGTGCGGTTGGCTGCAACCCTGTTTAGCTAGGCTGTCCGCTAAATCATTACCATAGATACCGACGTCAGAAGGAACCCACTGCAGGTGAATATTATGTTGGAGGGAAAAGAGTTTTAGGCTTGTTTAGGTCCGGTTGTTGGTTGTAGGGGGCTGCGGCTATCAGAGAATATCCAAAGGTCTTTAAAATAAAGGTCATTTTGCATAACAAATTCCAGACCCCTGTTGATAGCCAGAAGTTCACTTCTGAAAACGGAGCAGAAGTCTGGGTTACGGTTTAACGTTATTTACCTAATTTGTTCATCTCAATTTAAATTCTTTCACCTTGCGCTTAAAATTACTCGACGTTAAATAAAACTGTTAGTTTAACACTTTTTGTTTTTAGAAAACTGTTGCCTATTTTAAGTTTTATACAATATATTTATATATAAATATACATACTATAAATATACATACTATAAATATACATACTATAAATATACATACTATAAATAATAAATATGCATCATGCAATCATATGCTTTCAAAGGGTGGATAATTCAAGAGACTTTGGCTTATTCAGAAAAATATGGTATCTTATTGATTTATATTAAGTTTATTTAACAGCTTGCATTGGATTTTGGAATGTATTGCAAGGGTGGCTTTCCATGGTTGCAATTTGGTACAGATTTATCTAGCCATGAAAATATGAAAAAACTAAGCCTTTTTCGAATGCCCCTGCTATTTAAGCAGGGATTCGGAAAGGAAACCGGTTGCAGGAATATCCCTAACTTAATAAAACGTCATTCAAATGGGAAAATTTAAAGATTTTGATATGTTCCTAAGATGACGCCATTCTGATGATATGGAATTTTTGGAATTTTTTAAGAATTATTACCCATTAACTTCAGAAAATAATCCCTTAATCGGCATCTTGACTTTTTATGGCTCTTTGTGAAAGAATGATATCTGCGTCTTAAAAATAGAAGGCGAAATCTATTTTAAGCTTTTTGATTTAAAATAGAAAGACTCGTATGAGGCATTCCATATTACATGCATATATGCAGAAAACTTTAAATAAGCGAACAGTTTTTTAAAAACTCAGAGTTTGCTCCCTCACGCAACGCCTGTTAAGTTCAAACTGGGTCATTGGTCATCAACCTTGGTCAAGCGTGTTTCTTAAATCCATACTAGTACATAAATAATGGTAAATATCTAATATTTTTATTGGTTGAAATATTTTTCTTATAAAAATACCAGAAATTAAGATTTTTCTTAATTAATTTTTTTTTTAAATTTCTAGTGTTGGCTTAAAAAGAACATATTTGACAGCCTTAAAACTTTTTTAAGTCATTTACTTGATTTTTGTGACTTTTATCATGCGCATAAGACATCATAGTAGTTTTTTTCCTTCAAATTTTAGTTCTAAAGAAAACTAAGTTATAAAGCTCTTTCCTTTATTTTACAGAAGTATTTGCATTTAAATAATGTGTACGTATTTTTTAAAATCTCGTAAAAAAATCATAATCCTCAGTTAAAATTTTAATAAGTTACGAAAAGTCAAAACAATGTTGTACATTGATGCCTTCTCAGTGAAATCAATACCACTTAGATCCCTATGTAAAAATAAAAAAAAAATGTGAAATCAAAATTCAGTGCAACTTCGGGTGATTCCTATCATCCAGAAAGATTGCTTGGAAAACTCAGTACTCTAAAATAGCCAAAAGTGGTTAATAAAATTATACACGTTTAATAATGACAGTTTTTATTTATATTTATTTAATTAAATATAAGAAGAAAAATAATTGTAAATACTTGTGAACAGCATTTTTTCTTAATCGATCTATAGAACACAGTAGAGTTATAATAGTTCATAATTTTACATTACCTTTATAATTGCACATTTTTTCATGTCCCGGATACCCGTAGTAACTAGGGACACAGTTACGAACAGCCATACTAACGTTCTTTCGGCATTCCTCAAAGCATTCCTAAAAGTTTGGAAAAATCAATTCATTAGATTCGGTTAAACAGTGTTTGCCCGTAAAGTAATGACAGAGAATGGATTAAAAACATTGTTTGTGCAAAAACTACGCACAGTAAAAAAAGTTCCAACATAGGAAAAAGCAAACAAGTTACAACAAAATTCTCTAAGCGCTGTAAAATAGAATGCGTCGCAACATTCAAATGTTCAAAATGCAGAGAAAACATGGAAAAAAATAAGTATAATATAAGAAGAAAATTATTTCGAAAAATATATATAAAAATCCGGGTAAAAGGAAAAGAAAAACAGATATAACCTCTCTATCGGCTCACTCGACTATATCCAGAAAAAAGAGTGCTTTCTAATATTGTATCAATATAGCCAAAGCAAAATATATCAATACAATAGAATGAGGAGCACTCAAAAAATTACAACAAATAAAATAGAAGAAACAGCACATCATCAGGGGAGACACTGTCTGCTAACACACAGGAGCCTTTCTTTTTCTTCAGCTATTGGGAATTTTAAAATTTCCTTAGAGAATAATAATTTTTCCTTCAATTAGTGTAATAATTATTTTTTAATCCGATGAATTTTAAAGACGTTCAACTAATTCAAACGATATTGGAACCCGTATAAATAGGCCTATGTGGTAAAATTTAGAATTTTTCTTGCTCCCGAAGAATATTGTAAAGTAGAATAAATAGGACTTAGTCTAGAAAGTTGAAGAGATTTATTGAACACCTTCAAAGTACAGTGAAAAAAGTAACTGTGGTCTCGGCGTGAAACACCCTGTCTTTTATAGGAATAATAACGAAACAGGAAATGATATATTAGAACAATCTAGAAACTTCTAGAATCTAGAAGATATAGAAATAATAAATAAAAGCTTATTTAGAAAGTTTTAAATTTTCTTAAAGTTCTGAGGATCGAACACTGCATCTATGCCTTTCCAAGATGACGACACCAAACTCTCGGCCACGCTGACACGTCAATGTAAAAGGCAGCACTTACTAGGATTCCTTTTTTTTTTTTTTTTTTTTTTTTTTTTTTTTTTGCTTTCAAGTTTTCGAAACTATAAATATTTCAAATTTTTTTTTTTTTTTGAAGATTTGGCATTTGATATTTTGTTTTATTTTGATTTGGTTATTCTAACTGTAACTTTATTATTCATTATTAGTTTCATTATTAGTTCTTTCTCTGTGCATTTTTGACTTGAGTTTGTATATCATTAAATTATCGTAGCATTTTCTTTTCTTGTTTTGAGCTTTTCAATGCTTTTTATATTTGCTTCTTTTTATTAGTTTATCCATTATAGGGTCTCGGGGAACAGTCAGTTTTTGGTATTACCACTGACGTCAGGAAGGCTCCTGTGTGTTAGCAGACAGTGCTTCGCCTGATGAAGTGCTGTTTTTGTTAACATACATATCCTTAGAAATTCTTCTTTTTTGTGTGCTTGATTTGTGTTTATAACTTTCTAAATTGCTTAAATTAGACAAATTTGGTTTTAGGTGCTTTTAGCACTTTTCCATTTTGACTTATTATTATTTTAAAGGTTATTTTCTTAATTTGCTTAAATCAGTTTCATTCTTCGATTAGATAACAATGCAATTATTCATAACATAATAAAAATTTGTTTCTGCATGGGCTACCTATTCAGAAATAACTGTTACAAAAGCTTCGCCCTAGCATTTTGAACTATATTTTCTATCACGTACTATTTAAAACGAGCATCGTAGGCTGAAAACAGAGAATTACTCATATGATTATTTTCAGCTTTAATTAATAGTCTGTGTTACGTATTTAAATTCAGATATGCAAAAGAAAATTGGAATCCGCAACTGCAGAGTTAAACATGTCAAGACATGTGTCGACTCTCTTGTCCAGTAGTGAGAAAATTAGAATTTAAGTGGCTCATATACGTTTATCGGCCACTCTTTACCTGATTTTTCTTCCTTTTTATGTTAAACAATTGAAATAAACAAAAACACTTTCATGAATAAATAAATATTATTTACTTTCTGGTTAGTGGGGCCATATCCTCCTCTTGTTTTCCATCTTTCTAGGTAATCTACGCAATTTGTCTCATAAGGTGCAGGTAAAAGTTTTTTTACTACCTGAAACATATATGCACTTGAAAAAAAATGCAGTTAAAAAGATAAACTAACTAAGTGTTATATTACATTTAGGAAGTTACTTTCAAAATAAATGAACACCTTTTTAAGTCGAAATTCATGTACCGTGTTGACTTTCATTGGAAATCCATAGTGGAACGGATTAAGAATATGTCGAGGACTGTGAATGGAGATATGTACTGAAGCGAATTCATAAAAAGAAGGATACTCTTCAATATGAGGAAACACACTTAGAATATATTCTAGAAAAAAAAACATTGAAAATAATTGCAATACAAATTTGTTTTTCTAGGTATACTTTTCCTGATATCAGCAAATCAAGGGCAAAAATGTTATAACGACACCATTACTAAATATCTATTGCTTAACAACACCATTAAGTACAGAAGAAGGGAAAATACCATAGGATCTATTTTACCTGATAGAAAACTTCATAGTTTCGAAAATGGGCTCCTATTTTTGATGCACGTAAAACAGGTTGACTATCACTTCAATTTTATATATTTTTGAAGCGTATGAAGGTTATAGACAGGGACAGTGATGACGTATTTCACCCCGCCTCCTTCCAAACGCGTTCCAAACAATTTTTCGAACGAACCATTTCAATGGCATTTCCTATGTGAATTTAAGACGGCAAGATTTTTAGTTTATTATTGAAATAAATAAATTTATATAGCGCTTCTAAGGGACTTATTCCTAATTTAAGTAGTTTTCTTTATACGGAGTATCAGTAGATTTTACGAGTTAAGCGCATTAAATGCTATAAAAAAAAGTTTCAAAATGGTCAAGTTATCTTTAATTTTGATGTATAAAAATCTAAGCGTCAATATTTTTAACTCTTGTTTCATGTTTAAAATAATGTCTTATTTTATTTAGAATTTGTTACATATTCTTGACCTACATCTAATTTTTTTCTTTAGTTATGGATAGGCATGCATTGTTTTAAAACGTTTTGTAATTAATTTTTAATCTATAATTAGATTGTATTTATCAATACTAATATGTCTGTTTATTTAATTATGTCTGATGATAAAATTTGTAGTTATTGTAAACTTTGTTTGCTTAAGATTTTCTGATTATTGATGCTAATTCTCATAAGCTTTAGTTTTTAACTACTAAATAGGAATAAATTATGTAACTAACTTATTTAATTTTAAATCTGCACAGAGTTTTAGTTTAAACTCAGATTTATTTTGACTTGAGATTTTATCTTGTTTATATTTGTCAACATCATCATTAATTAGTTTTTAACTATAGTTTTATGCATTAATTATTTGAGAAAATTAAGTTACCTTATTATTAGATAATAAGGTATCTATTATCTAATAATAATATTAGATTATTTCTTAACGTTAGTAGTGTAGTGCTATATTAATGTGTAGTGTTATCATAGTACAGTGTAGTGGTATGTTAAAAGGGTCAATATTATGTTTAGTTTCCAGAATTTTAATATATAGAATAGCTAAATTATTTTAGAATTTTAAATTTCTAATTTTCATTTTAAAATGTGAGAGGAACAATTTTTTTTAGGTGTTATATATGAATTTATCTTAAAATCTCAGATTCCTATTTTATTCGATAAGAAAGTGCAACATGAATTTTTTTAGAATTCTTTAAAACATACTTATCCCATACATAAACTTTTATTTAACATTCATATTTATTAATCTATGTATTCACATAGGTGTTTAAATTTTACTTATTTAATAATATTAATTTCGCATGCATTTCAAATAAATATAATTCAAATTTTTAAGAAATTTTTTAATTTAGAAACTTAATTCTTTAATGTATGTATGCATATTTAGTTATACAGCTTTTATTTTGGCAAATGTTACTGTTATCACTTTTTATAGAATAAAATTTGCATTTGACAGTCTAAATCAAAATTTTTTAAATTACCTTCATAGTAATATTCTATTTGTTGCAGTGAACGTAACATTCAAGTCATCCATATTTATTTCATAATTTGGTTGTAAATATGTTTTAAGACCTGTCAACTCTCAAACTTTTGTTTAAGTTATATATTTTTTTTTTTTTTTACTTCCTATCATTTTAGTAAATTTACCAATTAATTTGAGCTATTTTAAAAACGTGTATCTAAAATGCTTTATAATTTTCACTAATTTATCTGACTTTATTCATGCTTCTTACATAACTTTTTAATTTGTTTTAAAATTCTCATAATTATTTACAATTAATAAGTTGTCTCAATATTATAAAAATAATTGATTTAATATAATATACATATTTTAAGAAAAATTAAACATAAATTAAATAATAAAATTCACAAATTTCCGGTTTCCAGATTATAAATACAATTTATATGGTAAATATTAAATACAAATTCTCTCAATCATATATACAAAAAGTTTTCATAATCATTTGCAATTAATAAGCTATTCCAATTAATGTCATAAAAAGAGATTAACGTAATATTAATATATGCAACTCTTTTTCTTGCCATGTCAGTGGTTAAATTCGACTCTATATTAATATATTCAAAGATTTAGTTCACCCTCTTTTAACTGCATGAGAAACGCCATATTGTTTGCTCCGTTCAGAACTTTGTTTGGAACGAGGAGAGCTAGTGACGTCGTTGATGACGTAGGACTAACCCTGTCTATACCTTTCTTTCAGGTAATTATCTCTCCTCTTCAATTTCTTGCGATTATTTAACAAAGCCATTGTATTGTGTTGCTTTGTAATGGTTGTATTGTGTCGCATTGTGCTGGTTTTATTGTGTTGATTGTTTGCGTTAGTTGCATTGTATTGTATTGCATTGTTGTATTGTGTTGTATTCTATTGGATTGAATTATATTATATTGTTGGTTGGTTGGTGTCGTATCCTCTATTGAATCATATTTCATGGTGTGCTTGAATAGTTTTTGTTATTTCTATGGCATTAAAAGAATACAAATCCTCTTCTGTGGGGTAGTTTGAGAGGTGAAGGCCTGCAGCGACTGCAGGGCAGTTAAAAACATGATATGGTGTCAGTTCCACGTTAAGACAATTGCCACAGTTTTGATATTTTCTAGTCCTTTCTGTAGAAATTTTCATGTTTTTATGATGTTTTGTTCTTAGTCTGATGAGAGTAGTGGCTGTCTTCCTATCGATGTTAAGATTAGTTATTTGATCGGTGGCTTTGATTTTTAAAGGGGTGAATAGTCTTGAATTTGCAAAAGCATTTGCATCTGCCTGGTTGGGATTTAATTTTGATTGAGATTTCTGGCATTTTTAGCCAAGGAATCAGCTATTTCATTGAACTCTAGGTTCACATAGGCGGGAATCCACTGCAAGAAGCATTTTTTCCGGAGACGCTGAAGTTGTCCAAGTTGTTCTATGATATTCAGGATTAGGCTTGAGGTACCTTTGCTGAGGGCCTGTAAGGCAGACCTGCAGTCGCTGAAGATGGTGATACCACTAAGCTGCTCCGAAGGTTCAGTATTATATTGTGTTCTTACTTTAAAAGTGAGTCTTTTGGGAATAATATGCTATTTTCATAACTTCTGTGATTTTGAAACTGTTATTTATGATTGTTAGGAAAGTTAAGCATATTTAAAGCTAGCGCTCTCTATGCTTGTTCTATAAATGACGCAAAACGTCAATGTGGAAAAATGCCGCAGTTTTGTTAAAATGAAATAATTTTTAAATATTTTAAAACTACTCCAATGCTCTTTATCTGAATTGATAAAAATTTGCAAAAACTGAGAATAAGTCAATGATTTTGATAATTTTCATCTTGGAGGTTTAAAAAAAAGCTTAATAACTTTGAAATATTTGGATTATTTATCCGTTATAAATCCCAGATAATTCTTCATGGCAACATAACACATATAATTTGAAATCATCGCTTTGTTTCAAGAGTAAAGCACTTTAATTGTGGCTTTACTTTATTTTCCTTTTTGACAGACGTTCGGAAAACCATGCTAATAAACTTACCTGAGATAGAAGAAACTTTCTTAGGTTCAGTTTCTGGTCGTCCGATTAATGTATTAAAGGTCCAACAGCTTTCAACGACGTGTTCAAATCTGGCTGAACAGCGCATGTGCTGATAGTATTTTAAGCTAAAATATAACATAATACTTTGTTATAAAATTCTGTTCAACTTTGAAACGTTGTGTGAAAATTTTCAAGTTATAATAATACTATTGGTCCATTGATCGCAAGAAAATATTTCAGTTATAATAAATGTAACAATGCGATGGTTTTAACTAGACTCCAAAAACCTCCGAAACAAATTGGGGTTATCCTATTTAAGCTGCATTTGAATGCAAATCAAAAGTTTTAGTTAATTTGGCTTCATTAAAGTTTATTTGTTAGAATTTATGTTTGTTGGAGCGTTAATGCTTAAGCTATTATTAATATTGATTAGTTTATTTATCTTTAAGTGAGATGTTACAGCAGTTATTTGCCATTAAAAACATTTAAAATTTATGTTGGAAATTTAAAATATTTCTAGAAACAACACTTATGTATTTTTAAAAAAATAACCTTTTTTATATTTTTGTTACAAATATTATTATTTGTGGAAAATGATGATACTGAGTTTTGACAGCGGCAACACATCATAGCCTAGATTAACCAAAACAAGAAATTTTTCAGATGAACTTGTAATTTTCTAAATGACGTTTTCTTTTTTGTTGCTTTAATTGTGGTTGATCTTTAATTGCTTAGCTTAATAGGTCAGGTTTAATTTATAAAAGCTTAATTGCAATGAAAACAATCACGTTGTTTCACACAGTTATCAATAGAGCCCCTGGTTTCCATTTCTAAACTCCTTTTTTCGATCCGTCACTCCACGTTGATTTCTCTTATGCTTGCCTGATATTATCAGTAGAAAATAAATTATTGCTTGAAAGAGCAAAAAATCTAAGAAATCAGAATTTGATATAACAGAACTGTTGTTTTTTTAAATATTCTTTTGTAGAAATAGAATCGTCGATATATTATTTTATTACAATCCCCAATGTTAACTCATTGAAAAAATGCAACTTTCAAAGTTTTTTCCCGTACAAACTAACTGAGCATTTTTTTTAAATTTTGGGGATTGGATGGTAAAATCCCTTTTGCATAGACTATCCATATTTAGGGATACTTGATTGACAAATAATTTTCATTTGACATTATATTAGAAACACATAGCCTAACTCTACTTTTTATTGTAATAGCTTACGGACAATTTATTTTTTTAACACAAAAAATAGGATACCTAATGTTTAGAGAATACCCTCTGATGTGGAATAAAGCTACTTACTCGCACTCTTCTTGAAGTACTTCCGATCCATCGGTAAAATAACATTCCTCAATAAATTCGTCCCATCTTTGCAACAACATTTCATAATCTTCATAATCCATTTCATTAATTTTCATGTAAGTTATGAAATCAGGAACCTTAAAAAAAAGTTGGGGGGGGGGGAATTAAATGTTTTGTTGACAAGTAGAGTCTACGATAAGAAATTGAAAAGAAACGATATTATAAGAAATTAAACTAAAATGCCCTGCTAATAGACTAATGCCTAAATATACTAAATGCCTAAAAAAATATCTCTTTACGCCAGGAGATTAGTCAGCCCCAATTCTTCTTACACAAATGGAGTGGAGGAAGAATCAAGGCAATTTGGATATGGAATGTGTAGCAGACATCCCACTCTTAGTCCATTGTTGGCCAAACGTCATCGTCAACTACACCTACAGTGGATCGATCAGCGAGCTTCGACACTGAATCATGGGGGATAAATAGAAGACATTGTCTGACTGATGAATCACGTTTTCTCATTGAACAGGGTACGCCGTCATGTCAGGGCACACCCTCTTCCAGACGAGCACTTGCTTCCGACATGGATAGCAGGTCATACAGGCAGGCGAGTCGATTGTATTATTCTTTGAAAGACGTTCTCATTACTGACTCTGGGACTTATAGTTGTGATAGAAGGGATGCTGAAAGCTGTGGAATATCTAAACATATTTGCATATCACCTATGCCATTACAAGTTGCAGCTGATTTGAAAGCCAACTGTGGCGAAACATGTTATTTAGTAGATGGTCATGATATTTGCGCTTTACAATGTATTTTTGACTAGTAAAGGCTCATATTTTTGCTTTCATTTTGAAGCCTGCCTAACTATGTTTCAGAAGATAAGCGCAAGAATACACGCGATTGTGTAGTCCTGATATTCTTTGATACATTGGATGTGCTATTGTTTCTTCTTCCAGCATTCAAACTCGATTATTCGATTTAAACGATAAATTCGTGCGTTAAAAGATACATAAATCTTATTGAATCTATTTAGAACTCCTTTCAAACTATTACTTCTGGCCCACAGTCTAATTTTGTTAAATTATCATTAATGGTTACAAAAATTAATGTAGTTTCGATTTTTCAATAAGTTGTCGTGCTTGGTACAGGGATGAAAAATTACAAATTTTTAATTTTTCTGAAAATCTTCTTGAAACTTTTATTTTGAAAAACCTGCTGAATTTTTTGCTTTTTCCACAGTTTTTTTCTTCAAATATTTTGAAAAGTATTTGTGCATCAAAAAATATGCATATATTTTTTTTTATTTATTAAATTATCTTATATTTGAGATCAATTTTAAGCTTGTATCTTCAATATTTTCATCATTGCATGAGAATAACAAAAAGGTGAACTAAATGATAAACACTTTTTAAAATAATTATCGTAGACATATCTAGTGAATATAGATTTTGAGTTACAATATATAAGAATATTCATTTTTAATGATGGTATTCATTATAATTAAGAGAATGCTATAAGATAGATAATTAAGAGAGATAGATAATTAAGAGAATGCTATCTTGTTCGCGCAGAGTAAAATTCCATTATTTCCGATTTATTTTTTATTTTATCTCTAATAGCTGGGGCTATAATAAAGAATGGGAACAAAAAAATCTTTAAACAAAAAAATCAAAAGCAAAATTAACAACCGAAGGTTATACCCCCTCCCGTAATTTTTCTCGTTTTCCATAGTCTAGCTAGTTGATTTCGTATCCCCTCAAGTACGCAGGTGATATTTGTCCATAGACTCATTTCTTTTTATCACACAGGGGACGGACAGCCTCAGTAAGAATGTCTATGGGATACAAATGTCAGCAAAGTAGTGATGCCCGGTAAATAGACGAAAGGCAGATCACTGCCTTCCGTATTTGTGTGTCAGTTAATATCTCAAAGGCAATTATTCCTTAAAATTTAGTTTCTATTCTATTAGATAAGAGTTCATCTTGGTATAGCATAGCACCCTTTTTCGACGACTCCTAAACCTTTGTGCTCCAGTATTTCATTGATCTTTTCATTTTGAGAAATACGCCTCTCCCTTCAATCCTCAATGTGCAAATACTTCCAAAGTCATCCGTTATCATTCAACATGTTTTTAATCTACGAGATGTTCTCATCATTCACATCAAAGTTTTCTCAATTGTCTGAACAATCCAAGTACCAAATCAGACTTTGTTGGAACGTCAGACTGCAAGAAAAAAACCTTAGAAATTGAGAATGCATTGGGAACTCAACTGCATCTATTCTGTTTGCAATGTCATATCTTGCCGGTACAAATGTGTGAAGTTTGCACAAAGGAATGTTATGCTTCCTGAAAAAAAATGATAGAATTTTTTAGTTAGTTAGAGTTGCCAGAAGAATCTAATTTCCCGTTCTCTTTTCTTCTACGACTCGTTTGCTCAAACTGACCATTGAAAAGTACTGCACTGTAAGCTTCCAGATAAGCCCTCGTTCCTAAAGTTTGTGCAAGCGTTCTTGAATTTTACAGAAACTGCTTTCAATACTTCATTTTTTTAATGTCACTCAAAATAGCGTCTAGGACGTCAATAAATGTTTTTTCATTATCACAGCCTTATCTTCTCATCGATGACTCTCACATTAATTTGTTCAAGTCAATATGAATCAAATTACTCATACTATAAATCAAAGAGGACTAGAGGATGTAACATAAAAAGCTTCTAATAATCTTTTTTATGTTAGCTTCTTCGCTATAAAGCAAATCCTAATTAATTATTCAAATCGAACTGCTTTCTCACACTTTTAAAAGCCACATCCTGTTTCTAAATCTATTTTTGGCTGAAGTTCTAAGATTTCCCTCTTTTCCCTAAATAGAGACATTTTCGGATTTTTCGCAAGACTTTCCCTGCCAGAAAGACTGATCCTGAATGGAGTTAACATCACTTTTCGCCCGTGTTCCATATGAAAATGATGTAAATAAAATACTTCTGATTTCATTAAAATCCTGTGTCTGTTTTCCTGCTCGGTCCGACTGCATCATTTTACAAGCCGGCAGGATGATCATTCGCAATTTTATATAATTATTGAAAATAGAGGTGGTGAAATATTGTTACTTTTGAAGCAATTGATAACGAAAGAAGGATATTTTCTCGCATGTAAAAATTGAAATTATATTAATTGTGCTCTCATCACGTTTATAACGATGTATTTAGCAACTTTTTAATTTTTTTTAATTGATTCAGTAAGATTATCAAGCATACTTTTCTTTCTTTAAATTACAATAAACTTATTCCAATCTACAATTATTATTAACAGGAAATTTAGTCCTACTTGGTAGATGACTAAATATGAATGCATTTTTCATAACCTCAAAGTAGCATTACTGTAACATCTATTCCAAAGAAACTATGAAGGTGGAAGATCACTGCAGTTATTTACCCCAACTATAACTATTGTTATGTCAAACTTTGTTGGTAGTATTCGCTTTTTAGTTGATTTTCGAGCAACAATTTACCTAGAATTTGAAAATTTGATTTTTCTTTGAAAGGAATTTTAAAATGAAAAGAGCTCGATTGGAAAAAGTATGGCAGATACAAACTTTGTAAAGAGCAGCAAATAACATTTTCTTGTCACACATACTTTTCAGATATTTGGAAGAAACTGGAAAAGGCCAAAATTTTAATGTTTTCAAGATGGCGGTGCACGCGAATAATTGGAAAACTTGGATTTTTCATCACATTACCAACCAATACAGCATATGAAAAGAAAGAAAAAAGAAAAAAACAAAACTAACCAAATTTTGTAAATGTGCAAGACTTTTTGGGGAAATTTGACAAAACAAGCTATGTGATGCGTGTTTCTCCACGATGCACCAGTTTTTCGTTTCGACAAACGATGTATAAAAAAGCAACATATTCTCAAATTCGCCTTTTTTGTGTGAAGGCCAGAAGATTAAACAATCATCCGATTCTGAAGCGTAATAGAACTGTTTAACATAATGTATGTCACATAATTTATTATCGTAGTTTATGCTTGATGAAATTTGGCATGGTTGAAGTATTGGAGGGGTTAATATTATAACAATGAAACCTCTCGAGAGCGACCACTCTCTGCTACACAGTAAAATGGTCGTTAATGGAGGTTGGTCGTTCTTAGGATTTACCTTTATTGACTTCAAAATGCTATCGAAGATACACGATTTTTCTAAAAGGACTTTAATTTTATTCCGCGCCATTTTCTTGGTGCGGAAATGTCACTTGTGCTGGTGTTATGAAAACCTGATCTCTGAAAAAAATATAGCTTCCATAAAAATGATCCCTACTTATATAATTATGTGTAAATATAAATTTACCAACTATGAGGGAGAGAACTACTTATATAAATAAAATAAAAAAAATTTTGTGTTTAAGTTTGCATTCAATTTTACGTAAAAAAATCAGTTTGCTTAAAACAATGAGAAGAGATTTGTTTGTTTGATATGCTTAAGCTATTTCTAATTTAACTTTCTACTCTGAAATTTAATAGTTGATAGCATCGTTTCTAGTGCTTCCTGACTACAACATGAGTTTGCAGATCTCTTACCAAGACATCAAAAACAGCTCTCTAAAGAAGAGTCTCAAACAATTATTTTAAATACATTTTTATCTATTTATTGGTTTTGTTAATATTTTTTGTTGTTGATATTTTATCGTGTTTCCTTATTTGGCCTTTCTCGTATTTGATGCAGAGGTCTGCTCGGCCACTGTGAGTTGTTTTGGTGGTCTCTTTTAAATGATTTCTTCAACACAAAGTCAATGGAAAAATTTCGAAAAATAGGTCGAAAAGGTCGTAAATAGAGGTGGTCTTTCCCGGAGGTTTCATTGTACTATCATTATTACTTCAGCTTTTTCTGATTAATCTCGGTTCATAAAATTACAATAAAATTTTTTAAAGTATTTAAGATAATTGTAACTTTCTTCTTTAGAGTAAACCAAAGCAAAAACATACCATTTTATGCAAAATTACCTAAATCTAGGTTGCTTTAAACAATGAATAGACAGTGGTTACTGAGATTTTATATCAGAGACCTTTTTCAAGAAAATCTGCCTGGTCTGTCTGCTTTCTCAATGCGAGTATTATCTGTACTCACATTAAAAACGAAGTAAAGATTTTATTTGAGTTGATCTGAACAAATTCTAGGGCTAGATCGCACTAGAACTTTACGTCTTGTAAAAAGCATAGGTACATAGATGTAAAACTCAGGATATACATACGTAACTAGATTTTGTAGCAAATCGCTAATTCTGAGTCAAGGAAAATTTGGACAAGTAGTTAGACTAGAAAATTATCCCTTTACCACACGAAATAGATTCACATTTAACCTCCTAAGCCTATGAAAATATTTCCTTTTTTAAAAAGATAATATTACGTACTAGAGTATCTTCCAGAATTGCATTATTGCACCATCTTCCATCTTTACATTCACACGAATTTGAATCATTGTATATTGAACAGTGAGGCATGAATCTTGAGTCGTTACAAATTCGACTTCTGTATAATCTGAAAAAAAAGTACAAAAGCATGTTCAAAATTATACACATTAAAATAAAGTAATACCGTAATAAAAATTAAGTAAAGATCCTTAGCTGGAAATAATAAAGGTTATAGATAGTACAGTAACAGTAGCTCAATTAATGTCTGGACTCAAACATCATAAAGAAAACTTTTATGCAACTACAAAATGTAATTCACGTTACTGTAGTAGTATTTTCTTGTTATTACGAGTTAGAAATTCGTTGGGAGTAGGAAAATTCTATCTATGGAAATAAGATTTCAAATTTTTAATAACTTCATGATTTTATTATATTTTTTTTTAACCTTTAAGTCTTCAAATTATTATTCTGTCAAATTATAACCTCAAAATATTTTAGAGAATCTTATGCACATTGGTAATATGCACAGTTAGAAAATTATAATCTAGCTAACATATTATTTTATATAATAAATTTCATAAAATTATTGTTATTTTTAGTTGTTGTTAGTCTAGGTCAAACTGATAAATGAAAATGACCTAGTTTGTAAGGATAAAATCTAATCATTTTTATTTTTAAAAAAAGACAGTTATACAAATTTTAAATTTTTTTTAAATATTGGATATACAAGAAACTATGAAAAACAATTCAATATGACGTAAATAATGCTCACTGAATATATGTATAATATTGTTANAGAACAGTAAATATATATATATATATATTCAACTGAAAAAAATTTTTTTTTTCTTAAATACCAAGAATTATTTATTAGAATAAAATATTTGTCATACAATATAAAAAATATTCAAATAATGTATCTCAATCATAGTGAATCTATATAATTCAAATGGATTTAACCTCATTTTGTTATACGTACAAGATGACGATAAGATCATATAACTAAAGACAAGATAACTGTATTTTGAAAAAAATCTGATATTCTTTCAAAAATATTAATGCTGTTAAATGGATTTATTGTTTTTATATTTATAACATGTTTTTTATTTCAATTGACAAACACATTTTCATTTTAGTATTTTAAAAATTAAACAGCAATTTTAAAATATTTTTCAATTATGTAATTGGTATCTAAAATTTTAATTAAAATTTCTTTTTAAATATAACTAATTATACTTAAAAGCTTTTATTATAAAATATCAAATAACATCTGGTAATGACTAGGAAGTAAAAGATTGGAAACTTTTTGTAAAAAATCTTTTTCTTTGAACAATGTTAATAATGTCCATAATGTTTTAAATCACAAGTCATTATATGAAGCATTGACTGAGATTGGATAGCTAATTTTTTTAGAAAAACTCTGAAATATTTAACGTTATAAAATATTATACCCGTTTTTGTTACATATTGTGAATGAAGGCTCTTCCGTTTCTTTAGTTGTTTCCACATTAACGTCAGCAATCGTTTTGTACTGCCAATAAAGATCCATGAAGTCCAAAGATTGGTAGATGAACCCCGTCAAACAAGCGATGAGTACCAAAGCACGAATGAATTTTTTAGTAGGGTTTGCAGCAACAATTATTTGCGGAAGACCAGTAACCATTGAATTCTGCAGTATATCAGTTGCATAATTGCCGAAACCTTGTTTTCGTTTTCTCAACATAATTGAAGTGTTTCAAATCCTGGAACTTGAAAAATGTAAACTTATGTCTGCTTGTTGAAATATTTCAATGCGATTATAAGCGTATAATAAATACAAAAATGAATTAACATAACTACGATGAACATAAATATGAAATAATAGGACAATTAAGAAAAGTTCTGTAATCAGCGTAAGTTGCGATACAATAAGTTAACTGAAAAATAAAACAAAACAATGAAAAACAATAAAAGTAAATGAAAACAATGTACTTATACCTTGTTTCTACTTGGTATACCTGTAAATAAATACTTAAACTAACAAGGATTACAAAACATCATTATAATATATTATGAAATGTAACAGATTTGATCACAGAACTTGGATTATTTATTTCTTTTAATGAAAACAAAATTGGTCTGTGTAGGGATCAGATAACTGGCCTTGCATCAGAAAGGTTCTGGGTTCGAATCCCGGCAAAGCTTGGATGATCTTTCATTCTCTGTACTTTCTGTCCTTACAGTGAGATCAACGTTGGCCTATCTAATATGGTGCCCCAGAAAGAGTGGTCAACAAATCTGCCTAGTGAATGCCTGAGTCGACGAAATGGTATTACAGTTTGGCATTGGAAATAAAAAAAAGAAGAAAACAAAATTATCTGTTTGAAAAGATCACTTCGTTCACTAAACTGTAGTAAGAAGAGTTGGGTACTGGTTCGATGATTCCAATCTCTGAATTAATTCAAATAACCAAACTTGCAACTGTTTCGAATTAGTTGTTTTTATCGAAATAGATTTAAATTAAATTAATAATTGTTTCTTAAATTTCAGTTAGTTTTGTTTCACAGTGATAGTATCTCATATACAGTTAAAAATTTCGTATAAAACCTGAGAGATTCTTATGCATTCATTATTAAGGACTTAAGATTTTCCAATTAAAGAATCTACGAATTCAGATAAAAAAAATTAAAACATTTCTATATATATATATATATAAATACGAAAGACTCAATAGGTAAATTTATTTACTTAAAAGAATTCAATAATGAGGAAAGAACAATACATTTTTTTTCTATGGGCATTTGTTAAAAGAAAAATAGTGATAGGTAAGTAAACTTTTTTAAATTTTTTGCTATTTTGCATTTTTTTGAAGCATTTGATTCGAATTACGTGATTCGCAATTAAGTCATCTAAGTCACGTTATTCAAATCAGTGATCCAAATTATTAGATTCGAAATGTGATCCGAATCACTTGATTCAAATCACTGATTAAAATCGGTGTTTGGAATCATTGATCACTTTATCCGAATAGTAATCCGAATCGCGATTTGAATCAATATCTGAATCATTTTATAAGAATCCGTTATTTGAATCGTGTGATTAGATTAACTTAACATGATTCGTTAATCGAATGTCATAATTCAAATGGCCTGATTCGAATCAATGATCTGGATAAATGGATTCGAAAAGAATTTCAAATCACATGAATCGAATCGGTAATTTGAATCACTATTCAAATCATGTGATTTTAATCAATATTAGAATTGAGTGATTCAAATCACTTTTTAGAATCATGTGATTCAGATCACTGATTCAAATCACATGATTCAGACTATTGATTCGAATCATGTGACTTGGATCAATATTCAAATCAAGTGGTTCAGATCAGTGATTCAAATCATGTTCTTCATATCAATGATTTTAATTATAGAACTTGGATCAATATTCAAATTAGCAACTATTGCTTCATAGCTTTTTGCCGGTAAAGTTATGTTCAGAATCTTAAACGTATGCAGGTTTAAAAATATTGAAAATAAATTACTTACATGTTGCCAAAATGCAACGCTCAAATTCTACTGAATCCAAAATTGGAAGAAAAAAAAAATTAAAAATTTTTAAACTGAAATTTAGGATTATATGTAATTTAGAATAATATGCAGAACTTTCCATTTTTCTCACTTAACAGTACCCGAGATTAAGTTGATAAGATAGTAAACATTTTAAAATTTCAAATAGCAATCATAAATGTAATAGCTAGTTACAAAAAAATGTTGTATTTAAAAAAACAGCGTTGGGCCCAATTATTCATCGGGACAACTATTTTAGAGAAACTTATCTTAAAATGTTATTACTTTTCAAGTTAGATATTTTTAAAATTATCTATTTTTTAGATGTCATTTATCTGGCCTCAGTTAATTCACAAAGTATTTTTTTTAAACTATAAAGAAACGAGTTTGTGGAAATTTTCACCTCATTTTTAAAAGAAAAAATGAATTCAAATTTATCTCCATCATAACTCGCAAAAGAAAAAAACAGTGCTTCGAAACAAATTTAATTTATAAAATTGATTATTTTGACTAATAATACATACACTAGTTAAATATAGTAATATTATTTAAAATTCTTAAATAAAATTCAAAGCGCTTGGATTTATTTTATTAAAAGTATTAAGCATAAATCAACACAAACTTCCAGTACATATCGATGACTTGAAAAAGAAAAAGAAGTATGAGGCTTTCGAAAAATAATGCATTTTCATTCATGGAAATAAAAAAAGGATTTTGCTGGTTTAAAAAACTGTCTGTCAAAGGCGGTAAGTTGGGCATTTTAAACAATCTAAATAAATATTAAATCGTGCTTTTAATATTTATCTACAGTTTCCAATTTCACTGAATAAAGACAAAGATTACGATCACTCTAGATATATAGCATTGCGTCCCGGGCTAGATGAAAAAACTCTTCATCTTTTGACAGTCAATAACATCATTTATAATTTATTATTGTTTACTTTAACTATATTAAGAATTTATTTTTATAATAATTTCAAAGAGAAATAGAAAATAAAAAAAGAATACTTCGTTTTGACTTTGTAAACTCACTCGCGGTTTGCTTTTATGAACCTGTTTTTATCACTCTGCATAAATGTATGTGTATGAATTTTTAAAGCGTGTGAAACGTAAATAAACTAATAAAAAACGATGAAGGTAAAAGAAAAACAAATGTAAATCACAGATTAAGAAAAAACATACCTAAATCTATGTACTATTATTTAACAAATAGCACGCTATTTTATATTGTACTTGATATGCAAAATAATATAGCAATTTGATAGCATCAACAAATTTGCATACTGTGAAAAAAATACTTAAATAACATAAATAAAAACATTTTTAAACTTCGATTTTATTTATAGTCTTATTGCCTCGTTTTTTTATATTAAAATAATGATGATTGTGCCAGTTAGACAAGTAAAAAGTAAAAACAAATGTAGAACATTCTCAAATTTTACGTTCAAATGTTAAGAAATTAAATTATTAATGATTTAAATTTATGGCTCTTATGTGTTTAACGCCAGGAGTTAATTTATAATTAAGTTATCAAATCAGATATTAAGAAAAGACTTTTTTTTAAGCTTTTTACAAAATTCTTTTAGCTGAGATATTTTCATTTAAAAAGCAATTTTCAGCAAATTTTAAATTTTTTTATGCATGCTGTCTGTCTTACTAAAGACCCATTTTAAAAATTTAAAATATATAAAAAGCCGTGCAATTGATACTACTTTATTCCGTTTTTATTGAATAATAATTTCAAGTACTCACTATCACAGATTCCTTTTGATCATAATAAAGCACTCCGAAACCTGGAGATTAACGACCGTAATAGCGTGCATTCGATGGAAAAGCAGTTCATTTTTTTAAAAATCATTCAGAACAATTACGTACTATAATCGTTTGGGTTCGTTTTGTTAGTGAAATTGAATTGATTATATAGAGACGAAAAGAAATATATTTAAATCCTTTTTCGTTACAATTCATCTGCCGTATTCCCAGATTGTTTACTGAAATCATTGATATATAAATATATGTATGAATAAAAACAAGTCATTGTGAACTTAAAGCAAAGATAATTAAATACATTAAACGATATATTATTTAGAATATTAAACGATATATTATTTAGGATTTGTTATTAACGTATCTATGATTTGCAAATGAATTGATTGATTATATCAAAATACTATAGAAAGTGACATAAAGTACTCTTTTGAAAACTTCTCAATTATAATATATTCATGTTTTTATAAACATATTGTAGTTACGAAACCATAACTCAACTATAACTATGGCACGATTTTTTTTTCCGTTTTCGTTCGTTGAACATGAATGTGAAAATTTAATATTTTTAAATTGGGAATGAGAAAGTACATTTTACAACTATCCTCGAATAATTGAGGTTCATGATTTTATTACTTTAAAATGGGTTGTCTTAGGGCCAAATTTTGAGGTGCTCCTTGAATTGGATTTTTAAATTGCATTGTATCGATACAAAATAGGCATAAAAAGCTTCCAATAATTTATAAAATGTATCAGAAAATATTACATATAAGTTAGAATTAATTCTAAATTAAAAAAAAAGTAACAAAAGTATTTCGTGAGACACAAAATCACTATGATTGATGAGATAACTTAGTGCAAAATTTGTTACATTAAAATCGCTTGGAACTTAATTTTAGCTAACAGTATAACGCTTTATTCACAACGCATAATTTCTTTACAATAAATTAAAACATTTTATATCTCAAAATCTTTTTTTTAAATTGTTTTAGAGAGAAGACAGAAAAAATCAAAATAGAAATATTAAATTTGCTTTTATAATTAAGTATAATTATCATTATTAATTGAGTACTTGCAACTTCAAGAATTAAAATTGATAATAATTTCAAAGAAATGGAAAATAAAAAAAAATAAAAAAATGGTTCTTTATGGCTTTGTAAACCGGCTCTCGGCCTGATTTTGTAAAATAAATCACTCTACATGAGTGTGCATATGTATGCATTTTTAAAGAGTGTGAAATGTAAATAAACTAATAAAAACGGTGGTAAAGTAGAAACAAATGAACACAACTCGCTATCTAAAATCATTCCTAAGTATGTACTAATATTTAACAAATTGTACGCTATTTTTATTGCACTTGATATGCAAAATAATACAGCAGTTTGACAGCAGCGACAAACTAACATACATTGAGAAAAATGAGCTAGC